TGGTAGACTCAGAGGAAAACAAGTAAAGGAACGTACATCTGCACTTTAGAAGAAGAGGACTGAATCTGTTATACCATTAACAAAGAATTCTATCTCTGCAATGCTTGATAGAGATAATGTCAAGAAGAGGCTGGATTATGGTGAAGAAAGGCAAGTAGAAACGGGTGATCCAGTAGCTATTGATTTGACTACTGCTTTGGAAGAATCATCGGACGGATCAGACTTATCAGAGCCTCCTGAGGTTGAAGCTAGAAAGAATCTGGGTTTATCCCTTGAAAAGTTGTACATGTTTTGCAAAGGCGATGGTGTTGTTCCTCGTGAAGGCCGAAAGAGAAACCTTGCTTCCACTCAACTACATCCGTACGTTAGTAGTTCTGTTGTTAAGCGTATACTGAAAAGGGAAAAAATTGACAGGGCAAGTATGTTGTCTGCCATAGATTCGAATCTGAAAAATGCTAAATTCACCAATGGTTGTTGCTCGCATTCGCCATTTACATCCACGCAACCAACATTTAACAACATACAATGTAGGCCTTGATCGATCAACATAGAAGTCAAACTTTTAGAAAACAATTATAATCTTCAATGTGCTCTCCAATGCATCTTTAGACTCAAATGTTTGACCAACTTCAATATTAATATCACGGAAATCAATTTGATCTCGCAATAGATTTGATGTCTTCATATTACTTTTCGGATAAGAATACCCTTTCCTTTCTTATTTCCTATCCACATTAACATCTTCTTGTTCACCTTCTAACACCACAAACTTAGGAGGCGAAGCATACTCTTCATCCCCAGAACTTGCTCCATCTGGATCATCACAACAATCAAACCTATATTTCTCGTCTTCATCAGAATCATCTTCTCCTTCCTCGTCCTCCTCAATAATTGGATGTTACTCAGTTGCTTTCCTTTTGTAGTAATCCCCTTCATTACTCTGTCGGGAGTTCCCTCCATCATCCTTACTCTCTTGCCTTATCCCATTATCCCTTTTACTTTGTCGGCTTTTCCTTACATTCTCCTCACTTTCCCTGCTTATCTCTACATTTGTTGGAATCTTCAGCAGTAAATCAACAATTTCGACACAGAGCCACCACACTGATTCACATTTCCAGAGACGGAGAAATCCTTGATATTGGCGTCCATTACAAACAAATACAGGTGACGTATCCTCTGGTAATGATATGGATGTCTTCTTGCTCGACAGTCTGTACGATAGGTGGACCTCGTACAAATTCCTTTCCAACCCGAAATCCTCGTACACCATTCCCATAAACTCCTCAAATGATTCTCTTCTACTTGGACATAACACCCTAGTACCTCTTTTCTCATCAACCATAAAAACCCAACGCTTGTGCCAAAATTTCCACTTCCCACAAACCAAAGCAATAACCTCCATCAAATCCCCAATATTTATTGTCTCCTTTAATTATAATTTGCAAACAAAAACAATTTTGGTTTCCCCCATAAGCAACCTAAAATCGCGAACACTACCTTCGTCGGGTTCAGATAGAAGATGAAGATAGTTGAGGGAGGGCATATTGGACTTTACGAATACCACGTTCGCCCTAAATAACGTATTACTATATTTCCACTTCCATAACTCTATTACACAAGTTTATATAGTGATGGTAGAGATTAGTTATACAACTCTATCTTCATGCTTTATATCTATCAGAATCTTGCTATTCTAGTCACGACAACTCTATCATCACTACATGTATATCTACCATAACGTGTTCAACTCTACCATCAAGTGTTATAGCTCACAAATACTGTTCTGGCCACTTTAACTCTACCACCACATTACCTTAGTCTGCTACATAACTCTATTACGCCGATAACTCTCCCACCACTGTAACAAACTCTGTCAGGAAACTATAGCGCTACCATAACTCTAACTATCTTTTGTGACTAAGTCTCCCGCCATTACATCATATCTATTAGATAACTCTATAATTTACCAAATTCTACCGCCATTACCGGAAAATATACTTCCTTACTCTATCAATTAACTCACTCTACCACCACTATTCTAATCTCTAACCGACAACTATGTCAAAAAATGAGCTCTCTACAACATAACTCTCTATCCTTGTTTAAGTCTACCATAACTACGTTGGTAGACTTATTACTTGGCAGGAGTTTTCCCTGCCAAATTTGTCACTCTCTCTCCGACGTGGAATTTAATTTTAATGGCATCACCCGTAATTACGTTTTTCCTACAATTGCTGAGTAAGGACAACGCTGCCATTTTCACATTATTTCTCTCTTATGCAAATCAGTAATAAACAACAATATATGAGTTAGTTTTGCAAACCACCCATAAAAAAGACGCTGAAAATACAAGTAAAAGTTTTCTGTATGTATCATATATTCATATGGGTTTTTTTAAAACGCTACGTATAACTTTTTGACAATAAGAATGTGCATGTAGAAACAGAGAAATAACCTCATGCATCCATAATCTCCAAATCATTCTACCGTTTGTCATCTTCAATAATCAAGACCATGGATCTTAATATCATTAAGACCATATATAACTGCGAGAAAACATCAAAGAAAGTTTAAAAAATTAATGGATCTCTAAATCAGATGAATTTATTTTATTATTTTTGTTTTGCTTCCTTGTTTTTATTCTAATTTTTGTCAAGAAACCAAGCTAATGGTTACCAAACTCGTGTCATTTCTATGACATTTACTTTCTTAGAAAAATAAAATATGTGTGCATGAAGTAGCCAGTAAGTACTAAGTAGGGTAGCTTACGATAAATGACCAAAAGATTTGGATTTGAGACCCACCAATGAGACTTATAACAGTGTAACACAAGAAAAAAACAAGTGTGAGGCACCGACACACATGACTCCACACAACTCTATTTTTTTCAATTTCAAAACCGACATTTCTGCTTTCTCTTTCTCTATTTTTTAAGAAAAAAAGACAATTCCAATTTTTCTTACAAGATCAAGGACACATTAATATTTGGAAGCTTTTTCTATTTGTGGTTGTGTGGAAAAAAACATAATGAAAAATTATGATTTCTATTTCAAAAAAAACTGTGGTAAAAAGGATATCATTATATATTTACGGGGGATTTGCAAAAATAATCTTTGTAGCCACTTAAATTTTCGCGTTTGCACCTTAATATAGGTGGTTACAGCTTCGTAACTTAAATAATTTGTGATTTTTTTTGGCTAAATCGCCTTATAGCCACAAATATTAAAACGCAAAATGGCTATAATTTTTTTTTTTACAAATATATAAATAACAGCGAAGCAAATATTATTTAGCTAGTTTACTAAAATAATTCTTCAACGATACCCCATTAGTATTTTGGTAACTTAAGGTTCGAACCTTGTTTGTTTTCATTATCTTTCATACTTTTATTTGTGTTTTCTAGATGAACTATCATTTATTGAATTAATTAGGTAGAAGACTACAAGTAATGTAGACTTTAACCTACCAAAACAATTGTTAGTATCTCATACATAAATTAGGCAAGACATTCCAAAAAATGTATATATATATATATATATATATATAGGCAAAAGAAACAAAGATCGTATAAATTAGAGAATCAAACTATACAATGCGATAAATGTTGGGGATATAGTTTAGAAAACAAAATGTACATACATGTAACAATAATATAATAATAAATTGTCTCAAGTGGAACAAATTTCACTGTTTTTAGAAGTAACCCTAAAATTTCATGGTTGTTATCACTATACACTGACATAACTTAAAACACCACAATTGAAATTTATTTACCTATGGTCTTGTGCTCTATCTAGGCGGAAAAGTACACTACATTAAAATTTGTTCCAAAAACATTTTGAATTCTAACATCATCTCTTCAATTTCAATTATGCTCTTAATTAGTGTTTGAATCATCACATAAAAGTGGTTCAAGTCTATAATTTTCTTTAAAAGTTTTAGAAAATATATTCATATAATTATTTTTAGTTTTTGTGTATTGTATAATGCAAGATGCAGTATGTTAGCAAGATAATATTATCATTTTTAAATAGAAAACAGTTATCATTTGATCAATGCTAAGTACCGACGAGGATATTGGTTTGAGAGGAGACGTGTAGATAAAGGTTGTTCCAAGTTTCCTTCAAGGATCACATCTCACATCGTTTTTGAATTCATTTTGATAACAATTGTTTCATTCAATTCATCGCAAGGTTGGTCCACATTTGTTTTATGCCACACCCAATTTGGTACATGTGTTTAGCTCTAGAGTAATAAATAAAGAATTCTTATATATATATTTTTTAAGAATGTATATATTTTGTTAAAAAAAAAGTTTAAAAATTAAACTATTAGACTTGTAGTGCACAAAATTTGGTCTATCGTCTCGACCAATGCGTTGCAGTTAAAAAAAATTGACGAAGCGACGACGATTTTAAAATTTTATAAGATTTCGATTATATATATATATACGAGTTTGGACTAGGCATATATAACAATCTCAAGCTATGATATATTTCTTTCATTTTCATTAAATTTAATTAGGTTTGTTAAATCAAAATATATAAAACTATCAAAATGTTCAATAATAGTCTTAAAAAATGTTTTCTAACTGGTGTGCTAGTCTGAATTTGGATATGATGATTACATAATGATAGTGATAACAAACATGATTAGGTTATATGTTTTAGTCAGACTTTTAAATCCAAAACGATAACACAACAACAATAATGCTAACAATCACTAGGTTTTATATCATTGTAAGACTTTGTTCTCCTCAAAAGAGAAAAATTTTGCTTAACAAAACAATTGCATCCACAAGTCTGATCAGTAACGTTTGTATATCAAAACATATAGATTGTGGTCCGACAAAATTTTCAACATATGTCAAAAGTCTCTTTAACATTTCGTTGCTGTCCAAAAAATCCAATAATTCTGGTTTAATTTCAACCATTTAACTAATAGTATAAAAAGCAAGGCTAGGTCATCTTCTTTTTCTTCCTTAGCCATTACCCTCTCTCTCTCTCTCACATGTACACACACAAATAAATAACATAACACATCACTCACCTCAACTCTTCAATTTGGTTCATTCATAGACTGTTCGAGAGACACTCTTCAATTTCATCTATCTTTATAAGATCCAACTAGATTATGGCAAAGTTTCCTCAAGTGGGAGCATCGATCTTGCTCCTCTTCCTTACCATCATCTCTCTATGTTCCGCTCACAAAGTGGTTTCTTCTAAAGGGTTGGTTCAAATAGAGTGTTTAAGAGTCCCTTCGTCAGAGTTCGCCGAAGCGGCCAAAACCGTCATTGATGCCATCAAAAAAGCCGGAGATATAGTCTCCAAGTTCGACAAAAAGATTGGGAAGTCGAGAGTTTCCAATGCGATTCTTGATTGCGTTGATCTTCTTGATTCTGCCGCTGAAGAGCTTTCTTGGATCATCTCTGCATGTCTAAACCCCAACGGTATTAATTTATATTTTTACACTTACTAGTCTTTTTTCTTTGCTTTGCATGCAAAATCGTGTTGCAAGCATTGAATCTTTAAAAATAATATAAAATACTAGTTACATAATTCTAAAAGATACAATGTTCAACAAGATTATAACGTACATAAACTGAGACACAAAGTTACAAATATCAATTTTTTTCCAACAACTTCTATTATTACAAAGGTTCTAGTAACCACAAACCAGAGAAACTTTGTGTTTACATGCAAAACAAAATGCGGTATCATGAGCAGTTCGTGCTAATTTATCCGTTTTAACATTAAAATTTTTTTTTATAAATACCAATTATTCAAAAATAAATAAAAAGTTAAAAGTTTAAAAAAATCGCGATAACTTGCATTTAGAATTGTTCTACTATTAAGTATTAGTTAAGTCTATTAAGTACTGTTCAACTAGTAAAAGTATCATTACTAAAGTCCATTTATTAAGCATCAATTGACACGAACCAACCTTTTTGTTTTTACTTTTTTTTTTTAATGATACAAAATATTTGATAACTTTCAAGACTTTTGTTCTGCTGAATCGGATTCACAGAACTTTTTTTTGCTTTAAAGAAGAAAGTGATTTGGTATCTTATCGTCGGTGATTAATCTTCGACGTACGTGGGTATAGAATCTTGAAATCTTGCACCTTTAAAGGATGAAAGATGAATATAAACGTCAGAAAAAAAAAAATTGTAACAGATCTTGATATTCTAATATGAGTACGAAATGTATACGTCCGTAATTAATTACATTGTCGATTTTTAAATACTATAGTTTTATGTAGCCAACTCACATGCATGTGTTTCGAATTATTTGGGATTTTAGAAAAAAAATAAAAGAACTTTCTTTATCAAAATTTATATACAAAAAGTACTACACAATAAATTAAAAAATCTAATAAGTCTACCAAAACATAATTAAAAATTAACTCTAAATTATTATCCGCTGATTAAATGCTATTATTATTGATGTTTTTTTATCAATAATATCAGTTAAAAAATAATAATTATAAAAACAATTTATTATGTACGATTATGTAAGAAGTAAAATGTAAATGAATGGAATAATAATGAAGTACATTACACTGTCACTGTCAGGTAAAGACAACAGCACAGGTGACTTGGGTTCGGATCTACGGACATGGATAAGCGCCGCACTTTCTGACCAGGACACATGTCTCGACGGCTTCGAGGGGACAAATGGTTTTATCAGAAAAGTCGTGGCCGGTGGTCTTAACCGGGTCAGTTCAACAGTCCGAAATTTACTAACCATGGTTCACTCTCCTCCCTCTAAGCCCAAATCCAAGCCCATGAAAGCCCACACGACGACCACAATTCATAGTGGCTTCAGTAAGTTTCCTTCATGGGTTAAACCCGGTGATCGGAAGTTGCTGCAAACTGATGGCTCACAAGTGGCGGCTGACGCGGTTGTTGCCGCGGATGGGACCGGGAATTTCAAGACGATAAGTGACGCGGTGTTGGCCGCACCGGAGTATAGTAAGAAAAGATATGTGATACATGTGAAAGGAGGTGTATATGCGGAGAATGTGGAGATCAAAAAGAAGAAATGGAACATTATGATGGTTGGTGACGGCATTGATGTCACCGTGATCACCGGTAATCGGAGTTTTATCGATGGCTGGACTACTTTCCGATCTGCTACCTTTGGTTAGTAAAAAAGATTTAAGCGTTTTTCACATAATTTATCTAGAAATTAATCTATCCAGTATACTAATCTAATCATATCAAGGATATAACCCAAAGTAAAACTAAATAAGACTTAGGATTTATATTTTCTATTTCAAAATATATTGCAATATCAATTTATATAGTTGAACCAAAAATAGTAGTATTCTATCTTGCAAGGTTTCTTTTACTATTCAAGAAGATTTTGAATTGGTTATAAAATTTGTTTTGCAGCTGTGAGCGGTAGAGGATTTATTGCTCGTGATATAACATTCCAAAACACGGCCGGACCGGAAAAGCACCAAGCAGTCGCACTACGGTCGGATACAGATCTCGGGGTCTATTATCGATGCGCGATGAAAGGTTACCAAGATACTCTTTACGCCCACTCAATGCGTCAATTCTTTAGAGAATGCATTATAACAGGAACCGTAGACTTTATATTCGGAGATGCAACAGCCATATTCCAAAACTGCCAAATCAAAGCCAAACAAGGCCTACCAAACCAAAAGAACAGCATCACAGCTCAAGGACGTAAAGATCCAAACGAACCAAGTGGATTCACAATCCAGTTCAGCAACATAACGGCTGATACCGATCTAGTTCCACACTTAAGTACCACGGCTACTTACTTGGGTCGACCGTGGAAGTTGTATTCTCGAACGGTGTTTATGCAAAACTACATAAGTGATGCACTTAGGCCGGAAGGATGGCTCGAATGGAGCGGGGACTTTGCATTGGATACATTATATTATGGTGAGTATATGAATACCGGACCGGGGGCTAGTCTAGACCGCCGTGTTAAGTGGCCAGGATACCATGTATTGAATAATTCGACCGAGGCTAATAACTTTACGGTAGCTCAATTCATACAAGGGAACCTTTGGTTACCATCAACTGGTGTCACGTACATTGCTGGTCTAGGTTCGTAAACTAATCATGTTTGATTGTATGATTTATAGTATAATGTATATCTCTTCATATATCATTTCTATTATTCTATACAATTTATTATTTGTCTGGGTGTTTTATATTTTGTATATGGTTTTGGTAATGATAATTGAACAACAAGTTGGATATTGTATTGAATGATAAATTATTTATTAATATTTAGTTCATTTAGTTAGATATGTGGTAAACTTTGATTGATTAGTTAAGAGGGCACACTACAAGAAAACATGCTTTTCCGACTACAGATGGCGACTATGTATATTTTTGGCGACTACATAGCGACTATATAGCTACAATTTTACGACTACAAATATTTAGTCATATATGAGTCACATTTTTGCGACTACAAATAGTAGTCGGTATGTTAGTTGTAACTTAACGACTACTTTATGACTATATTGCATAGCAAAAAAACTAGTAGCTAAATAATCGCTAATTTAGCGACTACTTAACGACTATATTGCATAGTAGGACACATAGTAGCTAAATAGTCGCCAATTTAGCGACTAATATGCGAGTTGTGGTAAAAGTCGCTAAACAGTTGCATATTAGTCGCTATTTAAGAAAATCAAAATTTTCAAATTTTAAGCTCAAACCTAAATCATAGCCTTTAAATCTTGAACTTTCAATTATTAATCTTTAAAAAAATAATTCATAAAGCCTAAAAAAAAGCTTTCAAAAAAAAAGTTTTCAAAACATAACCATCATATATATGTATCTTGTAAGAAATTCAAAATTACTAGAATATATCCAAAAACTGAGATCTAACACTTAAGAAAAATTATAGTTTCTCAAATCTTATATTTTTATCAAAACTTAACCCCAAATCTTAAACCTATACCCCAAACCCTATATGAAGTCATATATGTTATAAAACATGTTTTAAACATGTGATAAACATGTGATGAATGCATTACTTAATCACTAAAGAAAACATCTCCCTTATACATACATCTCCCTTGGTCATACATCTCCCTTGGTCATACATCCTCCTTGGACAATCTTGTAATACTATAAATAGATGATCTTAGCTACTCTTATGTAAGCTCATGAGAAAGATAATAAGATGAGATCTTCTCCATTCTCTCTAGTTCTTGTTTCCTCTTTGTTCTTCTTTTGGTTTGATCTTCATACCTATATAGAGATATAGTTTACAATAATATATGATTAACTATGATTAATCAGTTTTAATACATTTTATTGTTTAAAAAATAGGCTTTTCAAAAGAAACACTATATGTTTTCGATAAGCTCAACACCGACCTTCGAGAAAAAGGAAAATATGTAACGATTCCGAAAAAAAAGGTAGACTTATCAAAGAATAAGGAAATAGAATATATCTCAGAAAAGAAAAACATATATAGAAGCTGTGGCTCTATATAAGGAGGACGTCCCATAAGGCCCTAACCTTTAAGGATCATCTAAACAAGAAAATACAAAGAGAGAAGTAGAGAAAGAGCAAGAGAGATATATCAAGAGATAGAAGTTGGACTCTTCTTCTTCGTGTGTGTGTTTCTTGTCTCTGAAGTACTTATGGGAGAACGCAAAAATCTAAACAAGTACTACTCGCCAGACTTTGATCCGAGCAAGATACCTCGACTCCAGAAACCAAAGAACCAGCAGAAAAAGATTAGGTTTATGCTACCAGTTCGTGTTCGATGTAATACATGTGGTAATTACATGTCACAAGGCACCAAATTCAATTGCCGTGAGGAAGACGTCATCAACGAGACGCACGTAGGCATTAAAATATTTAGGTTTTACATAAAGTGCACAAGATGTTTGGCAGAGGTGACAATTAAGACCGATCCAAAGAACCATGGTTATACTGTAGAATCAGGTGCAACTTGTCTTTATAATGGACACGATAAGGTTAAAGAGGAGAAGGAAACTGAAGAAAACGCATTGGAGTCTTTAGAGAGGAGAAGTGTGGTATCTAAAAGAGAGATGGAAGTTATGGCTGCGCTTGATGAGGTTAAGTCTATGAAGTCTAGACGAGCCTCGGTGAGCGTAGACTCAATGCTTGAGGCTTTGAGTAGAAGAAGAAAACAAGAAGAAGAGAACGTGGAGGAAGAGTTGCTCATCAAGTCTATAAATTTTGGTAAGCGGATCACTAGGGTTGATGATGAAGATGAAGACAAAAACTATGAGGTGTTTGATGAGAAGAAGAAGAAGAAGAGTTTTAAGAGACGTGATTTTGGTAAATCTCGAACAAGACAAATCTCTTCTGTTTGCATAATCCCCAAGAAGAATGTAAAGGGACTTGAATCTCTAAGTCACTCGTATGGCATCGACAGTGATGAGGACAAGTGAATCAGGTTATTTTTATAAAATTTTTGTTTGATATATAATATTGGTTTTTAGTTGAATATGTTTAATTAGATTTTTTAATTTAGTTACCCTTGTAATCTCTTTTTTTTTCTTTTTCTAAATTAGTTTTTCGCATGAACATTTTTTATTAGTAAGCATTGCTTTAAATTACTTTTTAAAATACTCGAATACTCTTGTAAGACACATATGGTAGTACCAATCAATACATCAACACAATAATTAACATTTTTTTTTTGTTTTTTACTTTTGAATCTTTGGAGGAAATATTAGCCATATTGTTATATCGTGCTGATAACGTGTTAAGAACAAGAGGTTTACGAGAATCCTTCTCTTGTTATTACTCTATATAATAAAGTACAACATATATATAGGGATACATCATTAGGGTTTAGATAATGGATAAAGTATCCTAGAATATTCTAATGATCTTATAATGGGCATCCATATAGTACACAAGTATATTCATATTACCTCTGTTTTGTTGTTATTTACATCAAAATTGTTGATTAATTAGGCCCAATTGTCACTGTATGATTCAGTGTCATCTCACTTTTCCCTATGGTCGCTCCTCTTATATCAGTTATCATGGTAACTGTGAGACCCATCGTCGACGGTGTTCCTATCCCTGTCGTTGTCATCAACACCCTAGGTCCTGACAATGTCACTGTGGGTCCTGTTAAGCTAAGTTTGAAAAGGTTAAAGATAGCTTGAGGTGCAAGCTAAGTGTTAATCCTACCGAGTTATGGATTAGGATTAGGAAGTTTTAGAGAAGTAATATTTCGTTGTTATAATAGGAAATATCTTAAGGTTTTGTAATATAAATAGAGAGGTTCAGTTATGACCTACACTAAGAGATTGAGAGATTGTAAGAGAGCTTTAGTTTTGAGTAATTTCTGAAGCAATAAAAGAAAGAGTCTTCTATATTCAATCTTTGATCTCTAAAATTTGAGTTCATGAGTTCTAGATTTGGTATCAGAGCATACTAGAACTTGAATTGTTTCGCTTGAGATTCACAATATGGGTGATATTGTCGTGGCTAAACCAAGGAGAACAACCCGTCTTCTATTCAATGTCTGATGCTCATAGTCACCAACTACACCGTCTGGGCTATGCGTATGAAGGTTGCTATCAAGGTGCACAAAGTGTAGGATGAAGATGCAGTTCCAGAACAGCTTACTGTGAAGATCAGGAAGCTGCATCTGTTCAGACGCCTGAGATCACATCAGACGCCTGGGATCACATCAGACACTTGAAGTTGCTGACATGGAGTCGTAGGATGACGTGGCAAAGCTTAAGTGGATGGAGTGACGTGCTAAGGAAGATTTCTTGCTTGGCAGCAAAGATAGAGACGAATTGCATGTGAAGATATTGTGAATATTCTTCACATCAAATAAGGAAAGGATGAGCTTGACAAGCAAGTATATTCCGTTTCGGTGAGATCCTCGAAGATCCTAGGGTTAGGGTTTCGAATAGTTAGTATAAATAGTCTAGGGTTGGCCACGAGCCACTTTGAACACTTTAGACTCTTTGTACGTGATTGTAAACTTCGAAGCTAGCAAAACAAAAAGCTGAGAAGGTGAGTGTTTGTTTTCTTTTGGGACTACACGGGTGTAGGAGAGATAGATTTAGTGCTCGTTCTTTATTCGGGTTCAATTCTATTGGGAGGAATAGATTGAGTAAGAGCCGAGACAAAATTGTATCCTAGGAAAAGATAAATTTTGTTAATAAAGATCGAAGGAAAAAGCGTTTGCTTGGCGCGTTCCAAGCGTAACTGTCTGTGTGTTTCTCTATACGTTTTCATTTGGTATCAGAGCGGACGCCTGATAAAAGATCTGTTTATCTTTTCAACAGGTGAGATCCTGCAACAGAGGGTATGGAGAAATCACAGCAATACGTTGCTATAACTAAGCCGTTTAAGTTAGATCCAGAACATTACGGGTTCTGGAAGGTGCAGCTGAGACAGGATATTCAGAGTGCTGATCTTGATGCCTGGATAGCTGTTGAAGATGGATGGACAGCCCCTGTGAAAACAAATGAGGCTGGAGATGCTGTTTCGAAACCCAAGAAGGATTGGACTGCAGAGGAGAAACTTGCAGCAAAACACAACGCAACAGCTCTGTCCTTAATCTTCAAATCGCTGCCTGTAAATCAGTTCACCAGAGTTCAGGGATGTGAATCTGCAAAAGAGGCATAGGATATCCTTCAGGTCACCTTCGAAGGAACCAGCAATGTGAAGAGAACCAGACTTGACATCTTAGCATCTGACTTCGAGAACTTGACTATGGGAGATAGTGAGACTATTGAAGAATTCAGCAGCAAGCTGAGTAACATCTCTCAAGAGGCTATAGTGTTGGGAAAACGCTATAAAGATAAGAAGTTGGTTAAAAAATTTCTCAGAAGTCTGCCAGAGAAGTTTCAGCCACATAGGTCTGCAATTGATATCTCGTTGAATTCTGATGAGTTGAAATTCGATCAAGTATTTGGGATGATGCAGGCATATGAGCTACAAGTTAAGAAAAAAGAGCAGGCGAGTGGAAAAACTTTCGCACTGAATACTGTTGACACTCAGGAATCTGCAGATGATGATAAAGTTGGTATGCTTGTGAGAAAGTACTTCAAGAAAATGGAGCGAGGTCAGCAACGTGGGTCTGCAGTCAACAACAGATCAGGGCAACAGAAAGAATTCAAGAGGAGTGATAAGTCTGAGAAACAGTGTATTGAGTGTGAAGGCTATGAACACTTCAAGGCTGAATGCCCGAATATGAAGAAGAAAAATGCACTGAAATGTTATGAGTGTAAGGGCTATGGTCACACCAAGGCTGAATGCCTAGGAAGAGACTCCAAAGAGAAATCGTATGTGACTTGGAGTGAGAGTGATACTGATGAAGATGAAGGAAAAGGAGAAGTGCTAAACAATTTTGTGGCATTTTTGGGCATCATTGAGGAAGGCGATGAGAGTGTTGGTGTGACAGCTCAAGAGGATGTCAATCAGGTAGTTGGTGATGAATCAGAGGATGATGAAGCAAATCTTCCAACTGAAGAACAAGTTGCTCTTTTGATCAGGAGTCTGATGAACAAGACAAAGGAGATCTCTGATCTAACCACCGAAAGAAATGAACTTCAATTGAAAGTTTCTGTGATATCCAAGGATCTTGAAGCTGAGAAAGTCAAGTCGCAAGGTCTTGAGAGGCAGTTGGAGGATCAACTCAGGAACATCAAGATGCTGAGCAAAGGGACTAAAGATCTGGACAAACTCCTAACTGTGGGACGAACGGCTAATGTCAACTGGGGTCTAGGGTATCAAGGTGGAAACTTCAATGGTACAACTAAGTTTGTTAAGGCAGCTCCGCAGTCAGCAGAAGCTACTCAAAGGAAGTCTGTTCCTCAGAAAAATCAGAGACATGTTGTGTCCTCATTTAATTAGGAACAATCAGCTCACGGTCGAAAATCAAGAATGGCTTCTCGCGAACAGGTTCAGTCAGCGTACGGTTCTGTGTTTCGTCTTCACCGTAGCAGAAGAACAGGTTGTTGGTACTGTGGTAATCTGAATCACTACAAGGCACAATGCTATGGATTTTTGAATCGTGTGTCTGCAATGATGCAGCATCAGCAATATCACAGGGATTCAAAGAATACGAGCAGAGTCTACATAAGAAAGGAAGATCTGTACTGCAATGTTGCTTACACTGCTGATGAACAGGAGTCAACTCAGGAGAAGTGGTATTTTGACAGTGGATGCTCAATACACATGACTGGAGCTCAAGACAATCTGTCAGAGTTTAAACAGGTTTCAGCAGGCAGAGTTACTTTTGGAGATGGTGCAAAAGGAAAAATCAGAGGAAAAGATACCACAGGTGGTGAATCTCAACCAAGATTACATGATATGTTTCTGGTTGATGGACTGAACGCCAATCTGATTAGCATCAGCCAACTGTGTGATGAGGGTCTGGATGTAACTTTTACCAAGGCCAACTGCAAGGCTGTGGATCGTCTAGGACGTGTTCAACTCGAGGGACAGCGGTCTGGCAACAATTGTTACATGTGGAGTTCTGGTAACCCTTGCTTTCAAGCAGCTGTAGACTTTCAAACTGAGTTGTGGCATAAAAAATTAGGACATCTGAATGTTTGTACGATGCTGAGACTTGCACATCAGGAGGTAGTTCGAGGAATGCCAACGCTAAAGGTTGATCTTTACTTTGTGTGCGGACCGTGTAACAAGGGCAAACAAGTGAAGGTTGCTCACAAATCGGTTCCTGATGTTCGTGTTGTTCATGCTTTGGAAGTGGTTCACATGGACCTAATGGGACCAATGCGTGTCCAAAGTCTGACAAGTAAGCGTTTTATTCTTGTTATGGTTGATGATTTTACGCGCTACACATGGGTCCGTTTTCTACGAGAGAAATCGGATACTCTTGATAGTTTCAGAATTCTTGCACTGCAACTCAAGAGTGAAAAATGGGGAATCAAGACAGTACGAAGTGATCATGGTGGTGAATTCCAGAATGAGTTGTTTGATCAGTTTTGTGCTGCTCAAGGGATCACTCACCAATATTCTGCTCCTCGCACACCTTAGCAGAATGGAGTTGTAGAGCGAAAGAACAGAACGCTGCAAGAAATGGCTAGAGCTATGCTGCATGGTAATCAAGTAGCTCAACATTTCTGAGATGAAGCAATAAACACAGCATGTTACATCATCAATCGGGTCTATGTGAGGAAAGGAACCAACAAGACCTCTTATGAGCTGTGGAAAGGAAAAACACCATCAGTCAGCTACTTCCATGTTTTCGGATGTATGTGCTATATCCTTAATGACAAGGATCAACTGGGCAAGTTTAATTCTAGGAGCGACGAAGGCCTGTTTCTGGGGTACTCAGGCAACAGCACAGCCTACCGAGTTTACAACAAACGGTCCAGGATGGTTCAAGAGACTGTTAATGTGGTGTTTGATGATGCGTCTTTTCGTGTTTATGAAGATGTGTCCTCAGTAACTAATGCTCCTAAGGATTTCAATGAAAGAGTTGTGGGGTATGAACCAAGTCCAGAGCAGGAAGTTGATGATGGCTCCGAGGCCGATGAAGACACGGCTGAGCTTCTATCTACTCCTCAGGTGCATAAGAATCACACCTCTAATGATATTATAGGTACGATTCAGGGGGGCAGAGTTACTAGAGGAAAGAAGATTGACTTCAAGCAACTCGCTGGTCAGAAGCAGAAGAATGTTGCTGCTGAAGTTCCACAGATGGCGGCGGTTGTGCAGTTTGCTTGCTTTGTTTCAACCCTGGAGCCCAAGAATCACAGAGATGCTCTTGTTGACGAATACTGGATTGCTGCTATGCAAGATGAACTAGAGCAGTTTGAACGAAGTGATGTCTGGGAGCTCAAACAACGACCAGCTGATGTCAATGTTGTGGGGATTAAGTGGATCTTCAAAAACAAGAGTGATGCGCATGGATGTATTGTTCGCAATAAGGCGCGGTTGGTTGCTCAAGGATACTCTCAGATAGAAGGCATTGATTTTGACGAGACCTTTGCTCCTATAGCAAGACTGGAGTCCATCAGGTTTCTGTTTTGCATGGCATGTGCTCTGAATTTCATATTGCATCAGATGGATGTTAAGAGTGCCTTTCTAAATGGAATTCTCCAAGAAGAAGTGTATGTAGAGCAACCTAAAGGATTTGAGAATCCTCAGCGCCCTGATCATGTGTACAAGCTAAAGAAGGCTCTCTACGAACTGAAACAGGCTCCAAGAGCTTGGTACGAGCGTCTGACAACATTTCTGATCAAACAAGGATATGTGCGTGGGAATGTAGACAAAACGCTGTTTGTGTTTCAAGATAACAATAGTGTGATGTTTGTTCAGATATATGTTGATGACATTGTCTTTGGATCCACATGTCAGCCGCTATTTGATCAGTTTGTGAAGAACATGACTCAAGAATTTGAAATGAGCATGTGTGGGGAGTTAAACTATTTCTTGGGGCTGCAAGTGAAACAATCAGCTGATGGAATATTTGTTTCACAAAGCACTTATGCCAAGAATCTAGTTGAACGTTTTGGTCTCGCTAAGAGTAAAGAGGCGAAGGTTCCAATGAGTGTGACTGACAAGCTCTCAAAGGATGACGCAGGAGAGGATGTTGATGAACGAGTTTACAGAAGAATGATCGGGAGTCTGCTGTACTTAACTGCCAGCAGACCAGACATCTGTTTATCTGTTGGAATTTGTGCTCGGTATCAAGCCAAACCAAAGAAGTCTCATTTGTTGGTTGTTAAGAAGATCATCAAGTATATCAAGGTGACTATAAATCTTGGGATATACTACACCAAGGATACAACCAGGAGCTTGACAGGCTATTGTGATGCTGATTGGGCTGGTTCATTGGACGATCGTAGAAGCACAAGTGGTGGATGTTTATTCATGGGCAACAACCTGATTTCATGGCACAACAAGAAACAGAACAGTGTTTCTCTGTCAACAGCAGAAGCCGAGTACATTGCACTGGGAAGCTGCTGCACTCAACTCATGTGGATGAAACAAATGGTTGCTGACTATGGTATGGATTCTGAAACTCTTTTAATTCGTTGTGATAACCAAAGTGCAATCAACATAGCTAAGAATCCTGTTCAACATTCACGTACTAAGCATATTGATATTAGGCATCATTTTATTCGTGAACTTGTTGAGGCGAAACTGATTGTGGTTGATCATGTGAGTACAGAATTTCAACTGGCTGATTTGTTACTAAACCATTGGATTTTAACAGATTCGTGAATCTGAGAAAATCCATTGGGATTTGTGAGATCTAACTTTCTCTGTGAGTTGTGCTGATTTAAGACAGGGACTGGAGCAAGAACAGACCATGGAAATCCTAAGAATGAATAGAAGATCAGCACCCTGTACTTCGGTTTAAAGAGAGTGGAAAATAGCTGCCTGTCATGCCAACTCTTGTTGACATTCCTGTAAAACGTTGTCGTGATAACGGAGGTCAAAGAGCTGAGGAGGGTGGAAGTGTGCATGTCACGAGATGTACTTGGAATTGTGATACATCAATAAGTCAATTCCAGTACTCTATTAATGGAGCTCTTAATATGCTATTGAAGACATGCACAAGGATCAGTGGTTGAGAAGTCAAGTGATATCACTGATCCACAAATCAGAAGGTTTAACAGAGGCTTGGTCAAAAAACAACATTCTGAGAAAAGGCTCTGCTTGACTGTTAAATCATAGCTCCACATGTAGTGTGTTAAACAAAAAAAGAAAAAAAAATGAGAAAAAAAATATAGTAAAAAAAAAAAAAAAAGGGTTTAACACACTCCTGGTCCTGCACTCTCCAAAGGGTATTCCAGCTGCCTGTTCATGTTGGGTTTGGAAGCTTGAGTTGAAGGTATGCCAGAGTGAAAGACTAGCCACTGAACTCAGAGCTGATCTGTCAAAGATTCAGAAGGTTGTGGTAGCTTCTAGCTCTGTCCTGAACAAATGGTTAGCACATAACACAGACGAGAGAGAGACTCAAGGTACATGTTTTTGAATAATTTTATGATAATACTTCCAAGTACTCACATGTTAATTATCATTCTAGGTCCCTAAAGCATGTTCATGAGTAAATTGAGTCTTTATAAGAGAAAGTTATTTGAGGTTCTGTTTTTGAACTCAAGAATGTGAAAAAAAAATGGGTTGAAAATCGGATTTAAGGCTTGGTTGATAAGTGTGCACTAATGGGTTTATTAAGTGTTTCAGGTTCGTGGGTTATTAAAGTTATATCAGCGAGGCCCATTTGTTTTTAAAGCCCATGATGTTGATAAGCGTGTTTAGGAGGGAAAAACTAGGGTTAAAACCTAGTCGTGGAAGTTGAAAAGTTTCGAGATTGCTCATTGTTCTTTTCTCTCTCAAGTCCACGAGTTCAAAACCCTAAATCGAGCAAGAAATTCATCATGAGGTCCACTTTCAGCGGAATCCAGAAGCTTGTGTCAAGGCAGTCGCCGGAGCCCGATACGCCTCTGCCAGAACAGTCTTCTCGGACGAAACAGCCATCTCCGACTGACGAAGAACGGGTCCCCAGCCCACAGAATTCTGAGGCGACGGAACCCAACAATCAGTTGGTTCCGTATTCGGTTATTCTTCTTGAATCCGAGAACCAAGAGATTGAGTCGCTTCCGATTCCCAAATCTCCGATGGCTGTTGATGGAGACTGCGACTCTTCGGCTAACCCCCAAAGATCTCAGCCGATTGAACTTTGCAATCCGATCCCCGATCTGCTGATTGAAGAAATCTCCGATGGTTCCGAGTCGGTTCAAGTGACCGGAACTACAGGGCTGTCTGTCTCGTCTCGGGTACTGAAGCGCGCGCAGACGAGTGCGATGCCGTCTGAGCAGAAGAAGCGACGTTCGTCCGCATGAGGAAAAGGACCAGTTGTGAAAGACGAACATTCAGTGGAATTCGATCAAACTCGGTTCGGGTCTGTCGTTGCATTTCAGATGTATGGTTCTTTTACTTCTCGGAAATTGCATGCTGAGGTGAACACCACTTTTGGTGAGATTGATGAGGTTAGGGAACTGATAAATGCTGTGGGTCTGCTTAGAACTGTATCTGAGAGTAAGCCCTTTGATCCCCAAGTTGTGTATGAATTTTGGGCGAATTTGCCAACTGTTGAGCCAGAGACAGATTCAACAGAAGTTTTGGTTCAGAATTGGGTGTATGAGTTTACTCCTGACAGGATCAATGCTCTGTTTGGTCTTGCATCTGTGGATGAACGTACAGAACAACGGCATATGGCTGAAGTGATTACCTTAGACATAGCTCTCTTTGTGTCTGGAGGTAAAGCCAAGGTCTTCAAGCAGTTCCAATTGTCTAAGGTTGAGGACAACAACACGAAAGATCTTCTCAAGATCTGTTGTACCAACTGGCTGCCTACCACCAATGATGGGTATGTCACTCCTGACAGAGCCAAATTGGTCTACAAGGTGATGCATCAGGAGCCATTTGATTTTGGGAGGATGGTCTTTAAGCTGATCATCAACTTGGGTCTGACCCCTGTCTCAAAGTTGTGCCTGCCGTTTCCCAGTTTGATTTATCAGCTGATCCAGTCACAGCACCCTGTGCATCCGGATGTATCTCAGCCAGTGCCAAAGTCCAACAAGAAGGGCAAAGCTAAGAGAGGACAGACTGCTGAGGTTCCAGTGTGATCTTCAGATGATCGCAAGGCTTTGCGTCGTGCAATTCAGATCATGCAGCGTATCATCGATGAAGGTAAGTGTTTCTTCTTTCAATCTGTCATTCATGTGATCCATAAGTTACTTGTTTTTTACTTAGTTGTGCAAACAAGCAGGGGGAGATGATTCTGATTCTGATGATCATAGGAATGGTTGATTTGTGGGGGAGCATTTGTCCTGGGGGAGCAGTTGCGGTTGTTGTTGTTAGCAACAATGTATTTTGATTACAGAACCTTGTTTCATTAGCTCTTAGCTTTTGGGTCTGTAATATGTTTAAACATGGCATTTTAGGATTTCTAATTTTTGGGATTTATGCTAGTTATATTACTAGATGTTTGCCTTGTTGCTGTGTTTTGGTTTTGTCTCTTTGTGACTTTCAGGTTTATCACAAAGGATGCTTGATTATCAAACTAAGTCAAAAAGGGGGAGATTGAAGATGCAGTTCCAGAACAGCTTGCTGTGAAGATCAGGAAGCTGCATCTGTTCAGACGCCTGAGATCACATCAGACGCCTGTGATCACATCAGACACTTGAAGTTACTGACATGGAGTCGTAGGATGACGTGGCAAAGCTTAAGTGGATGGAGTGACGTGCTAAGGAAGATTTCTTGCTTTGCAGCAAAGATAGAGACGAATTGCGTGTGAAGATATTGTGAAGATATTGTGAATATTCTTCACATCAAATAAGGAAAGGATGAGCTTGACAAGCAAGCATATTCCATTTCGGTGAAATCCTCGAAGATCCTAGGGTTAGGGTTTTGAGTAGTTAGTATAAATAGTCTAGGGTTGGCCACGAGCCACTTTGAACACTTTAGACTCTTTGTACGTGATTGTAAACTTCGAAGATAGCAAAACAAAAAGCTTAGAAGGTGAGTGTTTGTTTTCTTTTGGGACTACACGGGTGTAGGAGAGATAGATTTAGTGCTCGTTCTTTAGTCGGGTTCAATTCTATTGGGAGGAATAGATTGAGTAAGAGGCGAGACAAAATTGTATCCTAGGAAAAGATAAATTTTGTTAATAAATATCGAAGGAAAAAGCGTTTGCTTGGCGCGTTCCAAGCGTAACTGTCTGTGTGTTTCTCTATACGTTTTCATAGGATGCCATCAAACCAGGCACCGTCGAGGGAGAGAAGGATGACATGGCGAGAGCACTCTTATTCCAGTCCATACCTGAAACCTTGATATTACAAGTCGGTGATCTCAATACCTCCAAATCCATGTGGGATGCCATCAAAGCATGATACGTTAGCGCATATAGAGTCAAAGAAGCTCGACTTCAAACCCTCATGGCTGAGTTTGAGAAGCTAAAGATGAAAGACACAGATACCATTGATGGTTATGTCGGGAAACTTTCGGAATCATCTACCAAAGCCGCAACATTAGGAAAACCCATCGATGAACAAAAACTTCTTAAGAAGTTCCTCATGAGTTTACCTAGGAAGAAATTCATACACATCACTGCTTCGCTTGAACAATTTCTTGACCTCAACACTACAAGCTTTGAAGACATAGTAGGGAGGTTGAAAACTTATGAAGAACGTATTGGTGAAGAAGAAGTAGAAGAAACATCCAATGACCAAAGCAAGCTGATGTATGCTAATATCGATTCACAATCTTATCAAGGGAACTATGGTTCAGGAGGAAAAGGTAGAGGACAAGGTGGTCGGTCTTATGGTAGAGGAAGAGGACGAGAATGCTAAGGAGGGAATAAACAAGAATGTGATACATCCAAGGTGGTATGCTTTCGGTGTGAAAAATTGGGACATTATGCATCAAATTGTCCTGACAGGTTACTTAAACTCCAAGAAGCCATAGAGAACGATGAGGATGCTACCAAAGAAACCGAGGAACTAATGATACATGAAGTTGTCTATCTTAATGAACAAAACCTGAAGCCAAATGAGTTTGAAACCGAATCTGATGACATCAATGTATGGTACTTGGACAATGGAGCAAGATATCATATGTTCGGAAATCGTGAGTATTTTGCTGAGATTGATGACACGGTTACGGGCAAAGTAAAGTTTGATGACGACTCGCGCATTGACATCAAAGGAAAGGGCTATGTTCTCTTCATTAACAAGGATGGAAACAAGAAAGTAATGGCTTATGTTTACTTTATCCCAGGGTTAAAGAGCAACATTATAAGCCTTGGGCAAGCTACAAAAGCCATATGTGATGTAAGGATGCGAGACGATGTTCTGATATTGCATGATAAGAATGGAGTCTTGATGGTGAAAGAAAATCGATCAAAAAATCGTTTATACAAAGTGCTTATGAAGATCTCGGACTCTCCTAGATGCTTACAACTAACAACATCAAGTGAATCAACGAGATGGAATGCACGACTAGGACACGTGAATATTGAAACAATGAAGGCAATGGTGAAGAAAGGGCTTGTTCTTGGATTACCAAATATACGAATCGAGAAAGAAACATGTGCCTCGTGTTTGCTTGGAAAGCAAACAAGGCAATCATTCCCGCAAGCAACATCGTTTCGTGCATCTAAGTTACTGGAACTTGTACATGGAGACATCTGTGGACCAATCACACCCTCTACGGCTGGACAGAAGAAATATATTTTTGTCTTGATTGATGACCACTCTCGTTACATGTGGTCACTTCTCTTGAAAGAAAAGAGTGATGCATTCGGTAGATTCAAGAATTTCAAGACGTTGGTGGAACAAGAAACAAGGGCTGTCATCAAAACATTCCGCATAGATAGGGGAGGAGAGTTCACATCTCATGAGTTTAAAACGTTTTGCGACAATGTGGGTATCACAAGACATTTGACTGCGCCTTATACTCCTCAACAAAACGGAGTTGTTGAGCGTCGCAACAGAACGTTACTAGAGATAACTAGGAGTATCTTGAAGCATATGAACATGCCTAACTATCTTTGGGGAGAAGCGGTAAGGCATGCTACTTATCTCATTATCAGGGTTGCAACAAGAGTATTGATCACGCAAACCCCATATGAAGCTTTTGAAGGAAGAAAACCAAAGATTGATCACTTACGTGTGTTTGGCTGCGTTTTATATGCAAAGATAGACACTCATCATCTAAAGAAGCTCGATGACAGATCACAAATGTTAGTACACCGTGGAACAGAACCCGAATCTAAAGTCTAGCGACTGTTGGATCCAGCAAATAGAAAAGTGGTGGTTAGCAAGGATGTTATCTTTGATGAAAGTAAAAGCTGGTCATGGAACAGTGCAGGAAAGGAGACAAGTTTAGATGTTGGAATGTTTACTATAAGCTTTGGAGAGTTTGGTAAAAATGGAATAAGAGATCAACATGCTGAAATTGATGACGAACAAGTAATAAGCGATGAGGATGAAGATGAAGACAAAGCTTCGGAAGGGAGAGCCGGTTCCCTTGATGAAGAAGTCGATATCAATGTTGATGTTGATGTTGAAGAAGAACAAGATTCCCAGCCAGAGTTACAGGAGTCGACAAGACCAAAACAAAAACCAAGCATTTGGCGGATTATGTTTTATTGTCCAAAATCGAAAGTGAACGTCTCTTGATGGTAATAAACGAAGAACCTTGGGATTATAATGAAGCAAAGGAGTTAAAACAGTGGAGAGATGCTTCCGAAGAAGAACTCTCATCAATAACAAAGAATGAGACATGGAAGCTAGTTGATCTTCCTCTTGAGTTAAAGCATGGAAGCTAGTTGATCTTCCTCTTGAGTTAAAGCAATCAGACTCAAGTGGGTGTTTAAAATCAAGAAAAATTCAGATGGGAGCATCAATAAATACAGGGCAAGACTTTTAGCAAAAGGCTATGTGCAAAAATATGGCATAGACTTTGATGAAGTTTTTGCTCCGGTGGCTAGAATTGAAACTATCCGGTTTATAATTGCTCTTGCTGCTACAAATGGTTGGGAGATCCATCACGTAGATGTAAATACTGCATTTCTTCATGGAGAATTGAAAGAAACAATGTATGTTACTCATTCTGAAGGATATGTGAAAGAGGGATGTGAAGACAAGGTGTATAAGCTTAACAAAGCACTTTATGGGTTAAGACAAGCTCCAAGGGCATGGAATAACAAGTTGAATAAAATTCTTAAGGAGTTGAAGTTTGTTAAGTGTACTAAGGAGCCTTCTTTATATCGAAGACAAGAGGGAGAGCATACACTTCTTGTTGCCGTCTATGTTGATGACATGCTGGTCACGGGCTCTTGTCTAAAGCTAATACACGACTTTAAAAAAGGAATGGCGTCGAAGTTCAAGATGAGTGACTTGGGAAAATTAACTTACTATCTTGGTATTGAAGTTTTGCAGCATGAAGGAGGAATTACCTTAAAACAAGAACGGTATGCAAAGAAGATTCTCAAAGAAGTCGAAATGAATGAGTGTAATGCAGTTCAAATACCAATGGATGAAGGTCTAAAGTTGTCTAAGGCACTCGAGGAACAAAGCATTGATGAAAAACAGTTTAGAAGAAACATTGGATGCCTTCGTTACTTGCTTCACACACGGCCGTATTTGTCTTATTGTGTTAGTATGCTTAGCAAGTATATGCACGAGCCAAAGGTATCGCATGGTGCAGCAAGCTGAGTTTATGGCTGCCACCAAAGCGGCTAAACAAGCTACCGGAAAACCATGTGAGAAAGTTACACTCCGGATTGATAACAAGTCGGCTATAGCATTAACCAAGAATCCAGTTTCCCATGGTCGTAGCAAACACATCTATTCACGGTAACATTTTATAAGAGAGTGTGTAGAGAATGAACAAGTAGAAGTAGAGCATGTCGCCGGAAGTGAACAAAAGGTTGATATCTTGACACACTTGGAAGGATCAAGTTCAAGGAGATGAGGGAGTTTATTGGAGTTCAAAACTTGAAAAAGAATGACTTCAACCTTAAGGGGGAGAATGTTGAGCTAAGCTTGAAAATGTTAAAGATAGCTTGAGGGGCAAGCTAAGTGTTAATCCTACCGAGTTATGGATTAGGATTAGGAAGTTT